ATGTTTCCTCAGCGCGTGTGGTCTCTGGGGGTCATCGCCGTGCTCCAGGACGAGCCAAGGAGCGGCTGGGGATGCGAAGCCCCCCCCGGGGAAAGGGCCGGGACTGCCTGGGGACCTGCATTGAATACATATACGTACGTAATGTAGGTATATGCAGAGACATGTAGGTATGAACGCACACACACACACGCACACACACACATATATACGCATATATGTATAGACGTATGTACATTATATATACATATATGTATGTATGCATGTATGTATGCATGCATGCATGCATGCATGCATGTATGTATGTATGTATGTATGTATGTATGTGTGTGTGTATATATATATATATATATGTATGTATGTATGTATGTATGTATGTATGTATGTATGTATGTATGTATGTATGTATGTATGTATGTATGTATGTATGTATGCATGCATGCATGCATGCATGTATGCATGCATGTATGTATGTATGTATGTATGTATGTATGTATGTATGTGTATATTCATATGCGGCTTGTGGGGGCCCTCACCAGGCCTCAGGGCCGTCAAACAACGACCCAGAAAGAGGAGCTGGTCTCGGGAATGGGTCGAGACCTCTGGGGGTTCACCCTGTGAGGGGGGTCTGGGGAGGGGGGCAGGGTCGGGGGCCAGGCGCAGAGGGAAGCGCCGCCCCGTGGAGGCCTCGGCCCCTTCCCCGGGGGCGGGCTCCTTCGCCCCGCGAGCCCTTCCTGGACGGCCCCGCGGGGCCCGGCCGAGGGCCCCCCCCCCCCGAGGTAAAACAGGGCTAGGATCGGGATAAATCGCTCCAGAGCGTTCCAGAGCGCTCTCAGAGCGTTCCGGAACGCTCTGGAGCGGCCGCGGCGCCCAATACATCCTCCAACCCGCCGATTCTCAGAGATTTCGAGTTATCCCGATCCGATTTTGTCCCGATCTTCGCGTCGTCTTACGAGGCCGCACAGGTGCCGGCAGACCTCCCGCCGTGCTTCTCCCGGGGCTCGAGGGGCACCTCGAGGGGGGGTGGCGCAGGCGGCAGGCCAGGCCTGGCAGCAGCCCCGCCGAGCGCCCGCGCGGCCCCTCCGCGCGCCCCCGGCGGGCCGAGGCCGCCGACCGCCTCGAGGGGGTCGGGGGGCGGGCCGGAGGCGCCGGCGCTTGGAATCCACTGCCCCTCTGTTATGAGGCCGTTGTATAGGAGAGGGAACAGAGGACAGAGTGTTTACACAGTTTTGAGGAATTAGTGAATTCAGTATGGGTCCGGCTTGAAGTGCCTCGAAGAAAGCGCGCGCACCCGAATCGCAGACATATGGCTATATGCGGACCCAGGACACTTTGCTTCCCGTCGTCGTCCTCGCCCTTGCTCCGTTCCCCTTCCTTTCCTCCCTCCCCCGGATGGTGTCGAAAGCGTCCGCGGCTCGGGCGGGGGAGAGCCCCTTCCCACCTCCCTCATTATTCCTCGTTCCTCTTTGCCTCCCTGCTCCACCATCCGTCGTCCTACCTCGTCCACCCTCCTTGTTCGAAAAGTGAAATCCCTGGCGCCGCGTGCCCGCGTCAGCGGTTAATTCTTTTTCGATATCCGAGCACAGCGGCGCAACCAAACAGAGGGGATTGCCAATGCGAGATTTCGGGGCGCACCCAAAATGCGGGCGGCACGGCCGCCGAGCACCGTCGCATCGCTAACATGTAAATTATAGGTGCCTGCGGCAAGGTCCGCCCCCCTGGCCAGAGCAGTGATCTATATGGCGACGCGTGGAACTTTGACTGTTAAGAGGTCCTTGACATGTGACATCTCTCGTGTTTTCGGATTGCTGCGCGGCATTCTTTGGGGTCTTTCGAGGCCTTTTTGGAACGTTTTCGGGCCGTTGGGGGCCGCTTTGGCGCCGCGTTGCACCGCGCCCTCCCTGGGCCAGGGGAGCGTGCATTTGCGGTTCTCTCGGGGGCGCCCTGGGCCGGGGAAGTGTGTATTTGCATCCCCCCCCCCAGCTGGGCATGTCGACCCCGGTTCTGGGTTGGCAAAGTCGGGGCGCCCTCGAGGTGGCGAGCGTTCACCTTTTCGAAATACACAGATCAAGGTGTGATCTGTGTACACAGTTTGTGTCTTCAACTGTGTATTTTCGTGTGTGGGCCCGCTGTTTACACAGATCGTGGTGTGACCTGTGTACACACATCTCGTTCCCATCTGTGTATTTGGAGTGTGCCCCTCGCGGGTGGTGTTGAATGGACGGGAACTTTCGCGTTTCTCTTCCGGCTGGTCCAGGGGCGGCGTCGTGCGCGGTCGATATACACAGTTCGTGTCTCCAACTGTGCATTTGTTGCGCGCCTCCCGCTGGAGTGGTCACTGGGCGGGAGTTTCCGTGGGTCTCCTGGCTGGTCCAGGAGGGGGCCGTGGTCTGGGCATGCAAAGGCGCGGGGGGGTGGGGATGGTGGGCTGTGGGAAGGAAGGGGTTCGATAGGAGGGGTGGCCGAGGGGCCAAGGATGAACGCGACTGGACGAGAGCGGAGGAAGAGAGCCCAGGAGGATTTGCATCATCGGCGTCAGCATCACGAGGGCGAGGGAGGTGGGGGAGGGCAGAAATTGGGGGCATGATGTGCACTAGGGCGTAGAGGATGGGAGGAGGGCAGGCATGTGGACGATGGGGGAAGGAATCCGGCGCAGGAGGACGACGAGGAACGACGTGAATTGACACATGGGGGGGGCAGTGTAGATGAAGGGCATGATGAGGACCGGGGCAATCGGAGGGGCATGAGGAAGGTGGGGCCGCAGCGAAGGGATATTTGGAAAAGGCGGGGGATGGCATGAGTTCGAGGCGGGCGCCAGCTAACGATTACTTGAACAGTGTTTTGCGTGTCCGCGCACCCCCAGAGCACAGTGACTGGTTGCAGAACTTCATGATCTGGGTAATCGTGCGCTTCGTGCTTCCAGGCCAAAGGCTCGAGTCCGCGACGCCCGTTGGCGTCGCGATGATGCCGCCCCGATCTGCCAGACCGCATATGCACAGATACGCAGAATATGTGTTGCAACGTTTGTTTCATGACCCTCTCTATATTAACATACCCACGTTGGAACCCAAGCCGGCGCACCTCTGCCTCTCACGCCAGGGCGTCCAAGGCCCCGACGTGGGGGGCGCGGGAACTTAAGTCCTTGGACAGTGGGGCCTCCGCTGCTTGAGGCCTGCGGCCAAGTGGGGGTGGTGCCGGTGGCCGTGTCTCGGCGTGGCATCTCGAGGTGCCTCGCAACGGCTGCGCAGATGTGACGCTTGGGGCGGGTCTGTGCCGCCGTTCATGTTGCGAGGTCCGACTGCGTGTGAATTCATGCATGCACCTTGGGCACCTCCCTTCGGGTTGTGTCGCCCAGGTGTTCTGTCCGGGCACACACAAAATCCAAGGGTTCCCAGGGTTCGTCCAGCGCTTCCAGGGTGCATGCAGCATTTTCCCAGGGCCTCCGAGGTCTTCAGGGTTTCCGCTGTTCCACGGCCTCGAAGGTTGCCGAGGTGTCCCAGGCCCTTCCAGAGTTATCCAAGGGCTTCCAAGGCCTCCAAGGGCTTCCAAGGGCCTCTCACTCCAAGCTTTCCATGGTTTTTCCAAGGGCTCCAAGGCGGCAGGGCTGTCCATAATTTTCCAAGGGTCCACGCGGGCTGCAAAAGCAGGGGCCGCCAGGTGCTCCAGGAATCCTGGAACGTATCCTGAGGCGACCATTCCGTGAGCACTCAGAGGAGCAATATGTCATGATAGCGATCGAGATCTCCAAGTTTTGCAGGGCTCCCAGGGAGTTTTCCGACCCTGAGATCCTGGCGTCTCGATTTTTTTCGATCCGCGCGTCTCCGCCACGCTTCGGGCCCCGGGATGCTCGAGAAAATGCTGGAACGCATCCTGAGGCAGTCGCGCCAGGACGCCATTCGAAGGACAAGTAGCAGCATAAACACAAATTTCTCGGAGAGCCGCGCGAATTCCTTGGGTTGGCGTTGGGCACCCCTCTCCGGCGCGCAGAGCGCGCCAGGAGCGGCGCCAGAGGCGCAGCCAGGGGTGCCCGACGCTGATCCAACGAATCCGCGCAGACCTCTGACAAATGACAAAGTATGTTTTTGCTGTATGTGTGTTCTATATTTCCATGTATGTATGCGTGCATGCATCCATGCATGCATGCATATGTGTCTTTCTGTCTGTCTGTCTGCCTGCCTGTCAGTCTGTCTGTCAGCCTGTCTGTCTGTCTGTCTGCCTGCATGTATGTGTGTGTATGCATGCATGCATGCATGCATGCATGTATGTATGCATGCATGCATACGTGTAGGTATGTTTATACATGTATGTATGTGTGTATGCATGTATGTATGTATGCATGTATGTACGTATACATGTATGCATGTATGTATGTATGTACGTATGCATGCATGCACCTATGTATGTATACATGTAGATTTGCATGTATGTATGTATGCATACATGTATGTTTTGTATGTATGTATGTATGTATGTGTGTATGTATGCATGCATGTATGTATGTATGTGTGTGTATGTATGTATATATGTATGTATGTATGTATGCATGCATGCATGCATGCATGTATGTATGTATGCATGCATGCATGCATGCATGCATGCATGTATGTATGTATGTATGTATGTATGTATGTATATATGCATGCATGTATGTATGTGTGTATGCATGTTGGTGTGCATGTATGTATGTATTATGTATGTATGTATGCATGCATGTATGTATATATTCATGCATGCATGCATGCATGTGTGCATGTATGTATGTATGTATGTATGTATGTATGTATGTATGCATGCATGCATGCATGCATTTATGTATGTATGTATGTATGTATGTATGTATGTATGTATGTATGTATGTATGTATGTACCGATGTATGTATGCATCTATGTATGCATGCATGTATGCATGCATCTATGAATGTATGAATGTATGTCTGTCTGTCTGTCTGTCTGTCTGTCTGTCTGTCTGTCTGTCTGTATGCATGTACGTATGTGTGCGTGCATGTGTGTATGTACATGTGTTTGACTACGTGTATATATGCACATTATATGTGTAGCTGCTAACCGTTCTCATCTTACTTCTATGTGGCACGTGGCCGCGTTGGGACCCTGGCTCAGGCCCAGGGCAGACGAAGACGAGACGAGCGGAGGGGGGGGGGGTCCCAGCGCGGCGGGCGGGCGGAACGCCCGCCGGGCCCCAGCGAGGAGCGGCTGCGTGTCTCGGGAACTGGTCGGCGGCCAGCCCGGGGGGTAGCGACCCAGACCCCCTCGCGTTGTGAAAAAAAACACGACGGGAGGTTTTTCGCTATTTCCGGCCTCGGGGGGGCCCTACGGGTCTTCAGGACCGTCAAGGAACGATTCAGAATGAAAAACTGGTCCCGGGGAGTGGGTCGAGACCTTTGGGGGTCGACGTTGTGAAACAATCACGACGTTAGGGGTTTGGGGAGGAGGGGCGGGCCTTCTCAGAAGGCTCGGAAGGCCCTCTGGCCTTCTGAGGCGTTCCCGAGCCTTCCCCGAAGGAGGCATGGGAGGCTTTCAGGTGGCGGGACGGCTTCTGAGAGGCCCCGCTGCTTTCTGAGAAGGCCTTCTCCTTCTAACTTCCCCCTTCGCTCGCCGCCGAAGTAGGGCGCGATCTCGATCAGCTTCCCTGTGCTTCTCGAGGCCGGACTTGGCCTCAAAAGCTACCTGTTTCGGCTTCGAAATGCGGACCCTACCCTGGCCGATCGACGATTCAGGCAACTCTGCGGGCGGCGGGGGTGTGGTGTGGAATTCGTCGTGCACGTGGCGAAATTCGAACCATGACCCCGCCTCCCATCGATACAGGGGAACGGGTGGTTGGCGGGGGCAGGGTCCGGATGCCGCCACCGATGTCGGAGAACAAGCGATGACACAAACATGAACTCTTGGAGGTCCGCGCGGATTTTGCGGATCGGCGCTGGAGCCTCCCTCCCTGGCGCGCGGAGCGCGGCGGGGGCTCCAGCGCCGGTGCGAGGAAGCCGTGGGGGCCTCCGCACGCTCTGCCCCTCGCCCAGCAGCGATATGCCTCCCCCGACGACTGCGGAGGTCCCCCCGTCGTGCGCCTAGGCCACCAATATTTGCAATTCCATTTTAAAAATCAGCTTTAATTTTTGTATGTAAGTGTATATCTTTCAAGGTATATTGAATTATGGTCTGTCAAACAAAAACCAAAAACCGCTCCTCTGGCTCGTCCTCGTCCTCGCCGCGTCTGCCTCGCCGTCGTCGCCGTCGTGCCCCTCTCCTCGCGGCTCGCCGTCGACCCCGTCGGCGTCGTCCTCGTTGTTGTTCATCTCTCTCTCGTCCTCGGCCTCGCTCTCGCCGTCGTCGTACTCCCCCCCTCCGCACGGCCCGCGCGCGGGCGCCTCTCCGCGCGCGGCCCCTCGCGCCCGGGCGCCGCGGCGGGGCCCGCGCCGCCCGCGCCGCACGGCCGCGCGCGGCCCTCGCCGGGCGTGGGGCCCGCCCCCCGGGCCGCCGCCGCGGGCGGGGGGGGCCGCGCCGCGGGCGGCGCGCGCGCGCGGCAGGTTCCGGGAGGACGGCGGCTCGCACCGGAATACGAACCGCGAGGACCGGGGGGGGGCCTGCGCGGCCCAGCCCGGGCCCGTGGGGGGAAAAAATAACAAAACCAAAAAATCAAAAAACAAAACAAACAACAAAATCAAAGCAAACAACAACAAAACAAAAAACAATCACAGGCAAACAATCCACACAACCAAGAAACAAAAGACAAGCAAACACACAAAACAAAACAAGAACACACACGGCCTGTGGGAAAAAAAACATAAACAACAAAAACACATACACGGCCCCCCCATGCTCCAGAGGAGGACAGGGTCCCCATACTATGCACCCTGTCCTCGGCTTCCCTTTTTGCACCTGCTGGGCGGCCCTCGTCGCCACCGCTGGCTTCGCGTCGGAACCCTGGCCAGAAGGCACCTCAGAAGAGGTCCGGGGAGTAGCGGTATCGGCACTTTTGTGTGTTCCCCATTTTGGTCCCTCCCCTCCTCCTCTTCCTCCTCCTCCTCCTCCTTCCCGTCCTCCCCGTCCTCCCCGTCCTCCCCGTCCTCCCCGTCCTCCTCCTTCTCCTCCTCCTCCTCCTCCTCCTCCTCCTCCTCCTCCATCTCCTTGTCTTCCCCTTTTTCATGCAGTTTTTTATGCAGGGCGTTTTCGCCGAGCTTCGGGCCCCGGCGCTCTCACAGATCGGGCGGGCTCGAGGAGTGGCGCAGCTCGGTGGGGTCTGAGGCCCTCTGCTTCGGGTGTCCGTGGGTTGTGAGTATGACGGGCCGGTGGTGAATGGGAACAATGTCTTTGTGTTGAGAGTCATGGGGAGGGAGTTCAGGGGCGGCGTCACCGACCCCCGGCAGGCCATCCTCACCAGTCTCGAACTTATCCCTATCCCTAAGATTGACACGCCAAAAGGCGATGACAATCTTAGGGATGCGCCCTGAAAAACTAAGGGAATCCCTAAGATTGGCATCGCCTTAGAGATATGTTCCAGGTTGGTAACATCCCCTTCCGCGACGTCCTCCTCGCCTCGCCCCGGGACGCACGTCTGCGGCCGGAGGGAAGCTCGCCATGCGGGGGTGGCGCCACGGAAGGGGATGGTTTGCGAGGGGTCGGTTCGGCCGCGTCCGCTGGAGTGCGCTCCCGCTTTGAAGCGTCTGCCCACGGCGCTGCCTGCCAGCGGGTGGGCCAGGAGCTCAAGGGTCCGGGGGCGCTGGGGGTGCGGAGAACGTCTTCGGCGAGGGGGAGGGGGGCGGAAACAGTTCGATGATCCTCAGGACGTGTGTCAGCCCAATGTGTGTTTGCCCCCTTCAGCCCAACCAGCTGATCATTACATCGCCTGCGTCGTATCGAAGGGTCTCGATGGGCAAAACACACGTTGGGGCTAACACACGTTCTGAGGATCATCGAACAGTGCATTGGCAGCTTTTCGGTGAGGACGCCTGGCTGGCAGCTTTGACCGGGGGGTGAGGACATCTGGGCGGCAGATCTCTTCGACTAGGCGTAAGAGTGACCTTTCGCCGGAGTGACCTTTGGTGCGGGCACAGATGGGTGCCCAGATGGCTGACAGAGAGGCGGTAGCAGCGGCTTGCGCGGTGTTTTTTCGCGCCCCCCCCGCGGTCCCAAAAAGCCGCGCACATAAGGTCACTCTTACCCAGGGTCACTCTTGCGTGTAGCCGATCTCTGGCCAGGGGGCGAGGATGTTCGGGTTGCCGTTGTGTGCCCGGGCGTGATGGCCTCCCAGCCTACCCGGCGACTGGACACACCTCGTGCCGGGCTCGTGGGGCTCACGGGGGCAGGGGAGAAGACGACAGGGAGGGGCGGAGAAGCGACCGCGGAGAAGGAGGGGGAGGACGAGGAGGAGGAGGGGGCGGAGGAGCTCCTGAGGTGCCCTTTGAAGGTCGGGCGAAGAGAACTAATTTTGCACATGCACCGATCTTGGCCTGGCCCATCCTTGACCCAGGATCGGTGCATATATGCCTTCCTGGCCACGGCAGGAGGACGTATGCACCGATCCTGGGCTCAGAATGGGCCTGGCCAGAATCGGTGTATGTGCACAGTTCTCTTTCCTTTACCTACCTTGAAGGGAGAAAGCAAAAAACGCCATGGGCAGAAGCTTGGCGCTCCGCGCGGATCTCTTGGGAGCGCGCTGGGCCCCCCCTCCCCCCTTTCAGGAGGAGAAAACACACACACACACAGACACAGACACCAGTCCTCGCCGATCCCCCGGGAAAATATGGGGAAAACACATGAGGGGGGACGACGAACATAGGGGGAATCCTTCTAGTTAGTGTGTATTTACTCGTGTGTCCCAGGGCCCCATTTACCCTTGACGGCGCCTCCGGCGCGCGCCCCCCCTGCGGCGCCAGCCCTGGCGGCAGCAGAGGGAGGCGCCGAGGGCCGAGGGCGGCAGGCGTCGAGAGCGGCCAGGGGGGCGCCGGGGGCCGAGCGTTGCGTCGGGCCTGGCCCTCGACAGGGGGGACATTTTCGAGAGCAGTCGAACGGTAGCCGGGGGGCTATTTTTGGAGTATTTTTTTGAGCATTTTTGGAGTATTCTTCTTCTTCTTCGTCTTCTTCTTCTTCTTCTTATTATTATTGTTATTATTATTGTTATTATTATTATTATTATTATTATTATTATTATTATCATTATTATTATTATCATTCTTATCATTCTTATCGTTTTTTTTTTGTGAGTATTTTGAGTTTTTCGTCGCAAATCCCCCCGTAGGGGGACGGGCCCGACCTAATGCTAGGCCTGGGGGCGCCGAGAGCGGCAGAGGGGCCGAGCGGCAGAGGTCGGCGCGGGGCGGAGGCGCACGAGCAGCCGGGAGGGAGCAGGCGGGCCGGGAGCACGCAGGAGGGGCAAGAGCACACGCAGAGAGAGACACAGTGGACCATCGACCACCGAGTCTCCCCAGGAGGTACAGTCGGGGCCCTGAAGAAGGAACCCTTTCCGTTGGGGAGGGGCTCCGCGTTCCTTAGGTGTTTCACAGCGTGCCTCAGGTTTTCCGATGTTCGCGATATGAAATCGAAGCTGAACTTAGGGAAAAAAAGGGGCCTCGTTCCTTATTCAGGGTTCCTTAGGTCAACGCCCCGACTGTATGGAAGAATACGTGACGTGGAGGGGAAGACGAGAACCCAGAACATCGTGGACAGACGAGAGCCCAGAGAAGGCATGGGAACAGCTGGACCCTCGATCGTGGAGTCTCCCCAGGAGGTATGGGAGAATACGTGACGTGGGGAGCAGACGAGAACCCAGAAAGTAGTGGACAGACGAGAGCCCAGAGAAGGTAGGGGAACAGCTGTGTGACGTGGGGGGGGAGAAGGTGAACACCCAGAGAAAGTGTTGGAACATGTGGGGAATCCTGGGGACGTGTGGTGTGTTTTTGTTCGAGCCTCCCCGGGGCTCCCTCGAGCGTGCGGGGGGGAGCGGAGGAGGAAAACCGCGGGGTGCGGTCGCCTGCCGCGGCGGCGGGCGGCGCTGCCGGCCCGCGCTGCCCGCCCGCCTGGTTTGCGAGCAGCAAGGATCAGTCAGGAGGGAAAGGAACACACAGACACAATTAATCGTCGACTCCCCAGAAAATGTGGGACAACATGGGAAGTGGGGGGGAAGGCAGAAACCCAGACAATATTGGGAACATATGGGGGCTCTTGTTATTGGTGTGTATTCATTTGTATGTCCTGGGGCCCCTTCAATTAGGTCGGGCATGCCCCTCCACGGGAGGGATCTTCCAACCTCTTTTAGCCTGGATCGCCAGAAAAAAATTCGAGCGTCAAATCTGTACCGAAGCTCGAGGGTTTTCACGTGTCGGGCCCTGGGAGACGCTCGTCCGACACTGTTTCGACACTCTTTCGATACTTTTCCGGGTGCTCGGAATGATTTCTGGGATGCGGTCCTTGAGCACGCTGGGAGCAATAACTCTACAGGAGGGATGTTCAAAACTAGTCGAACGATAGCATGGGGACGACTTTTTGAGTATTTCTGGCCATTCTGGGGTATACATTTTGTTTTGTTTTTTTATACAAGTTTTGTATTTGCCGTGCAAGATCCGCCTGCAGGGGGACAGGCCCGACCGAAAGCGAGGAAGAACTCGAGAACGAGGCCGCAGCTGGCGTGCGCGGGCCTCTGGCAGGGAACGGTTCGGCCTGTCATGTTCAGCTTGGTGATGCTTTCGAACGGCAGAGCGTCGTCTGGTGATCGTTTTCGTTAGCCATTGTTTTGCAGATCGGCGCGGGCCCTCGCACCCCCCCCTCCCTCCCCCCCCGTGGAGTAGATCTTGGCTGTTTTTTGACACCTGTTTCGAGCGGGCGGAGTCTCCCCCAGAGGACGCACGGTCCCAAACAGTCGCACCAAGCAGAGGTCTGGAGCCAGACCCCCTCCCCTCCCCCGCCCTTCCGCCCAACGTCGAAACGCCACATAAAAAAACGCTCACCAAGGAGTTGTTCGTCCTGTCTTGTTTAGTTCGGTGATGAGTTCAAACAGCAAAGCGTCGTCAGCGTGCTCTCTGTTCGTAGGCGTGGTCGTGGTGGCTCTCACTCTGACCCGGGCTGCGAGCGTTGGACGAGCGGTGGGGAGACACGAGGAAGAGGGAGGAGGAACAGGAGGAGCAGGAACAGGAGGCAGCGGAGGGCAACGCAGTTTCATGCATTCTGACACATTGACAAACTGCGATGCGGAATATTTAGACATCGATGCCTAGGGGTGCGAAAAACGATTCTGGGCTCACCCCAGGAATCACTGGGAATCGACCCCCAGAAATTTTATCTCCGAGCCCAGGACCGATTTTGCACCCTGGGCATGGGGTCCCAGCGGCTCCATGAGTGATCCCTGGATCGCTTTTCGAAATCCCGGGGAGTCGATTCCCAGCGATTCCGTGGGTGATCCCACGATCCCCTTCTGCATGTTTGGGCGGAGTTTTTTAGGGTTTGGCGCGGGGCTTGGGAACGCTTTTGACAAGCTTGTGGGCAACCTCGGAGAAATCGCTGGGCAGCCCCTTGACAGCCCGTTGAGAAGCCGCTGCGGAGCCTCTGGGAAGCCCCCGTGAAGCCCGTGAGAAGCTTAGGATAAACATCGGAGAAGTATTGGGGCCCTTTTCGGTGAGGCTTCGCAAGGAACTTCTCCGATACCTCTGCGCCCCCTGAAAGGCTGCTCCAAACATTCCGCGAGGCTTCTGAGAGGCCTGCACGAGGCTCCAGCGAGGCCTCATGGAGGCTTCGGAGAAGCCTCTGGTCGGCTTCTGCGAGGCCTTTGCGAGGCTTGCGTCGCGTCGCATGTCGTCCCGCAGGTCCCGCAGGTACTGCCAGTCTGACAGGGTCCATAGGCCCACAGTTCCCGCAGGTGACGCTGGTCTCGCATGCCCCACAGGTCTCGCGGGTTCCACACGTCTCGCAGGTTCCACAGGTCCCGGAGAGACTCAGAAAGAGAGAGAAAGAGAGAGAGAGACAGACAGACAGACAGACAGACTGACAGACAGACAGACAGACAGACAGACAGACAGACAGACAGACAGGCAGAGAGAGAGAGAGAGAGCAAGAGACAGACAAAGAGATGGGAAGAAAACGAATCAGAGAGAGAGAGAGAGAGAGAGAAAGGGAGAGAGAGAGAGAGAGCGAGAGAACGAAGACTTCGGAGTGAGTTGTCGTTTTGCCCTTCTCTCTCTATCTTCTGTATTGTCTTTCCTGGGAATCCCCCCTTCTCTCTCTTTCTCTTCTTTCTGCCCAGCCCTCTCCCTCCCCTCATTCGCCCTCCCCTCCCCCTTCTCCCTTTCACTTTCCCTCCAGTCTTTCCCCCCTCTCTTCTTCTCCCCCATGGAGTGCTTTGTTGCATGGCGCGATGTGCGTAATGCCGAGGCACTGGTCAAGCGATGCTGACAAACATTGGAGATATGTAGATCACTTGTTGCTGAGACAGTGCTGACACGCAAGTGAAGGCGTGCACGCATTCAGCACCATACTACTGTCTTCTGACTCCACGCTGCCCTCTTCCATTGGGATCGACATGTATGAGCAGGCAGCGGATGAGAAGGAGGAAGGGGACGATGAAGAGCAGGGAAGAGGGAGGAGGGAGGAGGGAAGATGGATGCAGGAAGCAGGCTGAGGGATGCAGGAGGAAGGGAGGGAGGATATGGATATGGGGTGTCAGGAGATCGATGATGAGGGTGAGTATGATGAGGACGAGACGGGGGAGGATGGAGGGGCGGGGAGAGGAGGATGAGAAGGAGGAGGAGGAGGACGAGGAGGAGGAGGAAGAGGAGGGACCATCGTGAGACAGGAGACAGGAGAGAGGAGGGTAAGGAGGAGGAGCGGGGACTTCCCCGCAAGGACGAGCGCAAGATCCACGACCTGCAGCGGAAGCTGACGGAGGCCCCGCGCGGCTGCCGTCGCGTCGGCGTGCTTCTCTTTTGGAGGCCTCGGCTGCGCGCAGAGTGCTCGTGTCGGTCGCACCACCCTTCAGTTCCCTGAGCCGGTGAGCGGAGCACGCGTGCCTTTCGGGAGCCTTGAGACGGGGGTCAATGCAGACGGGGGTCAGCCAGGGCGCCGGATTCTGCAGAATCCTGCGAAGGCCCCCTCTGGCTGACCCGGGTCAGGGAGCCGCTCGTGGCCGCGAGGCGGCCGCACATATTGGCTGACCCGGGTTTGCGAAGATCTGCGTTGCAGGTTTTTTTTCCTGTATTACAGTTTTTGGTTTCCTGCTGACCTGGGTCTGGATTGACCCGGGTCAGAGGATCCCCGAGCCTTGAGGTCACCCGCAGGGGCGCCAGGATGATCGCGCGTCGTGTCGCGGAGAACACCGCGTCCAGGTGGCGGTGAGAACGCGCCGGCGTGACCGCGCATGGCGCTTCGCGCGGCGCGAGCCACGAGGTTGGGTGGCCTCGGTGTCCCAATCGCCGACACCAACACGTCCATGTTTTTTTGTTTTTGTTTGTCTTCGTGTCCTGCAACTGTGTGTGTGTCCTTCCTTCCCAGCTCTGACCATCGAAGGCTCTTGCAGCCTCGGAGGGTGCCCACGCATCGCTCTGGCACCTGCACATCCCGCCGAGAGCTGCAGGGCAAGACCCTCTCTCCACGCAGCACTTCGCCAGCCGTTCTGAGGTCGGGTGCCGGTGCTTTCGAGGTCGCCGACGCGGTCGTCGCCGTCGGCGCCGCCGCCGCGGTCGCAGAGGACGGGGCACTGTTTTCGAGGGCGGCCAAGAGGAGGTGGTGACTATGGGGGGTGAATCTCATGGCCAGGGCTATGATATCTCCCCTGAATTCGTGGCGCCTCGTACCTGCATATACGCCCCCTGTCCCCCCCCCCGGGGTCGCGAGCATGCCTCGGGCCGTGAGTTGCGAACCCCAGTGATCCGGCGGGCAGATTTTTTTTTTAGCTTTTTCAGTCGTGCAAGTCGCTCTTGCAATGCGTGCTGGTGCCTCGGATCTCACGCCTTAGCTGCGGGGCCTCGTGGTACCCCTCGGTCGTTGAAAGTAGGTATTTTTGGATTCCCGGATTCCAATCTACTTTCAGCGCCTTCCTACTTCAAGAGTCGAGTGGTTTTCCCTCTTCCCTCCTCTTCAGGAGGCGGGGCGGAAACCCGATCTATTTCCAACGCCTTCCTACTTCATGTTTCTACCCACTTCTTCCGACCGATGTGTAATTAGGGCCGCCCTGCGGGACGAGACAGGCGGCAGCTCCCAGTGTCCGGCCGCCATCTCTTCACGTTTCCCCTCTTCCCTTCCCCTTGCTCCCCGCTCTCTGCGTGCCGCGTCTCCCTCCGTCCCTTTCACAGCCTGACCTTTGAGTGCTCCACCCTGTCCTATGCTCGCGCTGAGGTCTTCTCGTCCCCCCTCTCCCTCCGTCCTCCATCTCTCTCTTCTCTCTCTCCCTCTCTTTCTCTGTCTGTCAGTCACTCAGTCAGTCAGTCAGTCTGTCTGTCTGTCTGTCTGTCTGTCTGTCTGTCTGTCTGTCTGTCTGTCTGTGTGTGTCCCTCTCTCTCTCCATATATATATATATGTATCTCTCTCTCTGGTTTGAGCTAGTCTTAGTGTAACTTGTTTTTGATGCCTGATCGATATATGTAGCACCCCGCAGTTGCGGATAAGGGTGAGGGGACGGGCGTGGGGCGGGTCGCGGGTGGGTCGCGGGCGGGTCGCGGGTGGGTCGCGGGTGGCTCGCGGGTGGGTGGCGGGTGGGTGGCGGGTGTGTCGCGGGTGCGCCGTAGGCGGATCGCGGGTGGGTCGCGGGCTGGGTGGCGGGTGGGACGACCGCGATAACAACAACAGCAACCAACAACAGCAAAACAGCAGCACTTATTTTAAGATTGTTCGCTCTTATCTGCTCGCGTGCCAACATGAAAACTTCAAATCCTCGGTACCCGCCGTCTTCGTCTTCGATAGTACCCCCTTTTGGAGGTACATCTTCCCTATCTGCCGCGCAGGCCCTAAAACAGGGGAATGAGGGGATTTCCAGGATTTCCGCCATCCCGTAGGGATAAATTATCCCAGTGCGACTCTACCTAGGAGTTGGAACCCCTAGGAAAGCAGCATTTGTAGTAACAGTAACGCTAAGCTAAAGCTAAGCTAAAGCTAAGCTAAAACTAAGCCACAGCTAAGCTAAATTTAAGCTAAAGCTAAGCTAAAGCTAAGCTACAGCTAAGCTAAAACTAAGCTAAAGCTAAGCTACAGCTAAGCTAAATCTAAGCTAAAGCTGAGCAACAGCTAAGCTAAAGCTAAGCTACAACTAAGCTAAATCTAAGCTAACGCCGAGCAACCGCTAAGCTAAAGCTAAGCTACACCTAAGCTAAAGCTAAGCTAACGCTAAGCTACAGCTAAGCTCACGCTAAGCTAAAGCTAAGCTAAAGCTAAGCTAAAGCTACGCTACAGCTAAGCTAAAGCTAAGCTAAAGCTAAGCTAAAGCTATGCTAAAACTAAGCTACAGCTAAGCTAAATCTAAGCTAAAGCTAAGCTAAAGCTAAGCTAACGCTAAGCTACAGCTAAGCTAAAGCTAAGCTAAAGCTAAAGCTAAAGCTAAAGCTAAAGCTCCCAGGGGACTGGGGGGCACCGCGGGGCGGGGACTGGGGGAACCGCCCGGGGCGCTTAGCACTGCCCGGCCCCTTTAAGCTAAGAGAGTAAGAACCCTTCTAGGCAGAGCCTAGGTAGGGAAAAAGGCTGAGCTCAGCTGCCTGCTTTGGGATGTAAATCCCTGCTCAACCGATCGAGATATTCTCGTCGGGTCTTGGAGACTGGAAGACTGCACGGCTTGCCTAATCCCCTGAGCTCGGACTGACCGAAATAACCGCGTGTGCTGCAATACCAAATCTTCAAGATGTGGTGGTAAATTAGGGCGTGTGAGGGGTCGACCCAGCCTCCTGCGTGGTGCAACCTACGTCCTGGGGGCAGACGGGACAACCTACCATCCACGGAGCGGAGCTGGAAGCACTCACTTTTTAACCAGTCGGACCTACACGCCTTAGTAGCAGAGCCTTTACACACGCTGCACGATCCTCCACGTTCAGTCAGGACGTGCGCGGACGCGAAGCTATGGGAGGCGGAGGAGGAATGCGCTGCACAGGGCGTGCCTCCTCGGGGTCGCGGCTGGCCTGAGCAGCGACGATGGCGTCGAGGCCTGCTCGCAACAACCGCTTCCTGACCAGCCGAGCCTTGTACTCAATATGAGCAATCCTGGCACTATCGGCCAAGGGTACTCTAGCTCGACGGGCAGCCTCCTTCGCAAGCTCATCTACCACACAGTTTCCTCCAATGAGCTAGCTTGGCCACTGGCGCTCGGCGGCCTCTTTGCCATCGAGATGTGATGGCACTTGGATAACTGCGACGTCTGAAGGGTCCCGTCGCTGCTTAGAAAGCGTCTTGGCAATGGACCTCCACAAATCAGCTTGAGGCCCTGAGGGGCATCGGAGCTGGTCTCCGTACCAGCCTCGGGCCACTTCAGCACACTCAGTAACGTACAAGAGAGCGCCTGCTGAGAACTGCACAGCCCAGGCGAAAGCTTGAAGCTCCCCACGGGGCACCGCTTGGCTTGCCCCCACCAAGGGCCCGAGAAGATGGGGCCCTAAGGTGAGGGGGTGCAAAGAACTAAAACAGGCAATGGCGAGCCCTATCCTACGTATCCTGGGATCGTGGGTGTCAGCGCCTCCAGAAGCATCTCCGAAGACAACCAGGGGCTCGCCAGGGGCTCCTTCACCCAAGCAGGAAGGCCCGACGAGGCCACCGTTTAAAAGGCCCCCGCCGTCCCAAGACTCGGAAGTAGGAGGAGGGGAGACGGGAGTCCATGGAGAAGGGATGAGGCCTCTCATCCAAAAGCACGGATAGGCCTCAGAGTTGGCGACAGCCTCAGGGAGTAGTGACGCAGACGGATCACATGCGGGTGAGCTGACGTTTTTGGCACACGTCGAACACCGATGCAATGCCGTCTCGCGGCCATCTTTGCACCGTTCGCATACATCACTCGCACATAAGTTAGCATCGAAACTCCGAGCTGTCGTCCAAAAACGTCCAGTGGCGATAGATTCCATCATTTCTGATAACTGGCGGCCTCGCTTGGCCTGGGTGAGATCGTTCACGAACTTCCTGTAAGACTGCATGTCGACTCCATCCGCAAGCCCCTCACCACAATACAACTCTGCGGTCTGACGCCACTGCTTGAGCTCCATGGTGTGCTGCAGCTCGTCTAGTAATGGGGCCGCCTGGTCAGGGCTCGTAAACTCGGCACCTCCGAGTCTCCAGGAGAAGCCGGCTTGAGCACCTTCATTCGGCACATCCCACTCCATTGGCGAGACTGGAGACCACCCTGCCTCCAGCAGGTACAGTATGACTGTGGATAGCGGCCCGCGAACATGCCGACTCCGCTGCTCGGGCTTGATGCTCATCAGGTGCTTGGCCGTCGCTGGCCACGCAAGACTGATGGACGGCCTGAGCTGCGGCTCCTCCAACCACACGGAAAGCCAGAGGGCCACGCACTGCCGAGGAAGCAAAGCCCTTGGGTCCGCGCCTGGCAGGCGTAGTGCCAGGAGCGTGGGCAGGCAGCGCCCTCTCTTAGAGGAACCCGCGACCGCCCCCAGACGCCGCCGCAGTAGCTGCATGTTGGCCCCGCACGCCCCGTAGACCTGGTGACCATACACCGCCGACGCCTGGGGCCCCGCCCGCTGCAGCTTGGCCGTGGCGTGCCACCGCCTCGCCGCATGGGCAAAGCGGCGGAGCCTGCCATGAGACTTAGCGGACTTGGTGGCGCGCGCACCGTGGCCCTGCCTTAACGGCGCCCCGCGCTCAAGTCCACGCCCACGTACGCTAACTGGAGCACCGCCGACAGCGACGCGCCTCGCCTCCGAAGAACTTTAACAACTGCCACTGCGTCGCAGTGGTGCGCGCAG